TTCTAGATAAATTAATTCTTTTGCAATTTACAGGCCTAACACACACTATAGGACTTTGAGAAACAATTGTAAAGATAAATTTTTGTACTCACCCTATCATCGAAGTCATAGCAACCCTGTGGGCGCAGCCGATACCTAGGTGACCGCGACGCTTCACACACACCAGGGCCACCTGCTGGCACGTCTGGGTCTAGAAAAACAGAATTTACAGAATGTACAGGTGCTGCTTAAGAGTACAGGGTGAATTAATCAGACATTTAATTTTTGGTTAAATATGCCCATTTGCCACACTTTGACATGGAGTTCAAGACTCGATATCAATTATTTAGCAAAGCTAATCAATCTGAAGCCAATTCTCACCAGTGAGCAATTCAATCAATTCTTATCAAATAAATCTGATAAAAATTTTTTTATTTTGAGAACTCAAAACCACCATGTAAAGGATGCACAATTCATGTAAAATTCAATCAGTGGTTGGCAGCCCTACCTTCACGTGTGTCATATGGGCCTCTTTTGGGTTCTGGAGACAGGGGGTCACATTCTGGTCCACAGGGGGGCTCTGCTACCACAAGCAGAAGATTGGTGCCAGTAATCTTTTCCACAGAGTACTGCCTAGAATAAGAAATAAAGAAAGAATTCAAAATTTCTATTTAAAATGCTGCTACAAATGCAATGAATGAATGAATGATTGAAAGTTAAGTTTTAGAAACTTGTGTATTGAAATTGTGCATGCAGGCACACAGAAATGCTAGATCACTTAATCAGTCATGCCCATGCTCAGCCATAACCACAAAGGCACATGTGCACACACACACACACACACACACACACACACACACACACACACACACATACACACATACACAATATTTTGGACCATACCTTGTGCAGTTTTCACAGACAAGTTCAGAATAAAGTGAGGTGACATCTGTGAAGTAGTATTGAACTTGCTCCGTAACGCAACTCTCATTCTTCTCGCTGCCACCATCTCCTGGGTCTTGTTGGGCATATGCTGGGAAGGGTATAGATTATAAAATGTTAGCAGCCAAAACCACAGTATAAGCTACATTAAACGACTGAATATCCATAAAATATATAAAAACAGTGGATTCAGTCCCGTCTCCTTTTTATAGATAATGCAAACTTAACTACTCTTTTCTCAACCTCAATAAAAAGAAAAATATAAAATCAATATAACGTATATGACTGACAATATTCAGTGGGTCAAAATAATGAATAATATACAGAGAGAACATCCAATTAAATGATATGTAGATTATGAAAACACTGCAATTAAAAAGAACACTCACCAAAACTCTTTGCTGATTCAAATATCCAACTGAAAATAAAATGCACTCTATCTGAACACACTGCAGATTGACACATAAAACAAGGGTCGTTAAAGTCACTTAAATAAATTAGTGCATAATCGTAAAATTGTCATGATAAAGATACGTAATATTTATAATCCATTAATGAGATCATCATTTCTTTCTTATCTCAAAATTATCTATTACCTTTATTTCAAATAATGTTTAAGTCTTACTTAAATCGAAGAATGAAAATGGTTTCCACTTTCTTGAAGGTATCAATCTAAAAGAGATTCTAATCTTTTATCTTTAAAAAAAACACAAATAACTCATATTATATGACAATATGTCACTAACTTACTTGTATAAGTTGAAATTCGAGTATGCCCTAAAACAGACATAATTAAGAAACATGAGCACCTTTCATGAAGAAAAATGAGTACAACACAATCAATTGAGATAAAGGTAGATATAAACAAAATGCCTTGAAAGTGCCTCAACACATCGCCTAAAAACCTTATAGGCCTTCATCAGAAATTACAATAATTTAAATTCATGGCACCAAAAAAAACTTCCATTAATTAAATAAAAATTGGTTCAAACTGGTGTCATGTCTTTACAATGCCATCTATGAATCTGTCAATTGTGTATTGGGAGTTCATTTGAAATAATCCTTAATCATTTCTAAATGGTAAGAGCTTAAAGTGAAAGTGAAACTGACTCACCACATCACGCTGCTTGTCCACCATTTCACTGTCAGCATTTCAAACACTGGAATGCTGGGCTATCAAGGCAAAGAAACAGTTGCAATAATGGTAATGATTCCTAACTTTTATATTCAGAACATCTTTACTTGTTCCAATATTTTTTTTCTCAAAACCAATGCTTTAATTTGTCAAAGTAATGTAATGTGAACTAACTTTTCTTTTTATCCACTTTTTATTTTCAATTTTGTGTTTTACTAATAATAAATAATCATTCTGGCAAATAACATTAATCAAATTTGCTCAAATATATTGAGGGAATATATATAAAAACACATCATTTCATAAAATTTCTCTGATAAAAATAGATAAATGATACTGTGACCGTGTGACATACGTAACTGGTTGTTCTTTGAATACTTCTACGTTGACCCTCGTGACTGCTAAGTACTTGCACATCTCTTGACATCTAATCTTATATCATGTGACCTTTTGCTATATATAATCTGTGCACGCCAATTTCGAGCACTGAGACGGTGGAAAGGCTGAGACTTGTGGCTTGTGTTGGTGAGTTAGTTGCTCTAGTGTTTCATTTCTTTCTGTTCGTATTTCCTATCATATTTACTATTTTACTACAGAAGTGTTTTCCACTACTATTATTCATTTTTCTTTCAGCCTCAGATTACAGACATCCTCTAGTTTATACTCCGTTTCAGTCATGTACAACCCCCTCTCGGACATTGGGGTGCGTATGAGTTAGCGCTGTGTCAATCTTTATACGTATAATCTGGCATTTATCTATAGTAAGACTAGTATTTTTTTAATTTAACAAAAACATGTTAAATTGTCAGTATAGTTTTTTTTGACTGTATTGTAAATATCGCTATATATCTCTTTTAGGGTTTTGTTTTATATCATTTTATTGGTTTGAAAGTCAAAATAAATTTTGAACCAGCCCCACCAGTTGAGTTAATCATTCCCGGTAACAATACAAACACAAAACTGCCCTTGAACATTCATTTTTCAGAGCATATTTTTTTACATTCCAAATTAATGCAGCATGAAGATATTCAGGGAAAAATATGTGAATTCCAATTGTTTTTTAGTGACTTACAATGAAGAATGATCTTGGTCCAGCACTTGTTTTAAGTTGCAGCTGTTTACACACACCCTGCCAGTCATAATTCTGTACCCTAGAAAACAGGACATAAATCGCTTCAGTGAAAAAAAAATCCAATTCATAGAACGCTTATTGTCCCATTTTACTATTAGAACACCATTCCCAAATTCCACCTGTTTTTTTTCAAGCCTTCCAATTTCTGTGTAGAGATAAATAATTATTCTTGAAACTTATTTATTGTAAAAGTATTCACACTAATAAATCTATGACAATCCTCCCTTCATATTTAATATTTAACAGCTTAAATTAGGCTTTTTCTGACTAAGTCCCTTTTTTGCCAATTCATACTAGCCATGGTTCACCACCCACCTGTTATAAACAGGACTAGATCCATTATAGAGTTCCATCATCAGGGCTGGCTCTGTTGCACCAAAAAAGCGTCCAATCTGGAATAAAATGGTTTCCACCATACATTATATAAATGTTATCACTATACAGTTATAAAAATTCTCTCAGTAATTCCAGGTTCTAACCAATTCAAGTGACATCCCTGTTGCTTTCACTTCAAAAATATCCTTTTTTTAAAATAAAACCAACAGATCAGCCCCATACACACATTTCACGAGTCCCTAAACAGTTGACTTGGTCTTCACCTTCCTTCTAATTGGATGATATAGTCAGCATCCCTAAACTATTCTTTCTCCTGATTGGCAGACACGGTCAATGCTACTAACCTCATCTTTTTCCTGATTGGTTGACACAATGAATGCTCCATCATCAATGAGATAACAGAAGAGGGTCAAAGAGAGATCAGAGCACTGTCCTTGGCTGGTATTGTTCATCAATTCAGTCAAGTATGTCTGGTGCATCTTGGCTCCAACCACTGGAAATTTGATTTTACGATCACCAGTTAAGGATGTATGAAGTTACTCTATTATTCCTTTTTTTTTTGCAGATTAGTTAGTTTCATAGTTAATTTTCTCTGATTACCAAAGATAAAATGATCTCAAAATTGTACAAAAAAGCAGAAACCATAATGACTGGCAATTCATTTCGTCACATATTTATAAAATTAAGCCATGTAAATACAATTTATGTTAATTTGCATATTTTCACAGTTTTATTGATTTTCCAAAAATTTAGGAGCTATCCTTCATGAAAGGAATCTCAGAATACTACTATTTAGAAAGACACTACAACAGCATAGGTATATAAGAAATGCTTGATAAAATGGATCACTGTCAGCACTGTCAAATTAAGCTGAAAATCCTGTGTGCGTGTTAGCATGTGTGTTTGTGTACGTATATGTGTGCATGTGCTGTTCCATGTGAGATTTGCATATAGGCATGTCTGTTTGTGCATCTGTACCAAAACATATCCGAGCATTTATATGCACAGGAATGAATAATTTTGTGTGTCTGACTGTGTACTTTTACGTGTGTATGTCTCCATGCATGCATATTGTTCTCTATGCAGTCTACAAACCTGCTGGTTTATAGGTATTGCCACCCTTTTCCGTCATGCTTATGGACTTCATGACACTGACCACTGGACCAGTGGTGTTGGGGTTATTGTCCTTCACTGAAAAGTGGTCAAAGTTGATTCAATTATTTGTGCATACTTTTGTGGCATTCTCTTTCACCCTTTATTGTACAACTAAATGCCATTTCTATTCCCTACACTTAAGTGACAGAACTTAGAAATAAATGACTTTGTTCTTTTTCTGGCTTCTAAGAGGGAAAAATCAATCAGTCTGATGATGAGCAAATACTCTAGAAAGGATTCTATTATAAACTCATACCCAGGGCTGTAATACTGATTCATAATGTTTTTTATTAAAACAGATCTGCATGCGACCTTACTAACCAGCTTTGTAAGGCGCTGAGAAAAGCACATGGTCCTCATCAATTGCCCTCTTGTATTCCTGGTTCTCACGAGGGTTGGCCATATTCAGAAGCTGTTCTGTCATACTGAAGTGTTCAAGATATACAACAGTAACATATATACTTTATATGTACACCACAGTAAATTTTACTTAACTTATGAAAAACATTTACAAAAATCTACATTAAACAGAAGTCTTTTGATTCAGAGGAATTAATATTATATTCATCACTAAACAGCAGAATTCCTACTGAAATCATATTCACAGTATACTTCCACATGAGACAAACTGCAATCTTGTGGTCAATTATGACCCACTTACTTATGAGGATAAAGCCTGGTCAGTCCACTGTTTGTGGAAACAAAGACAACCTCTGTGGCAGACCTAGAAAATAAGTTACTACCTCTTCAATATCTTAATCAGAATCTGAAGATCAGACAGCTTAATATTTGCAATTAACTAAAATATATAACAGCAGCATTAATAATAATGATAATAATATCATTTTTGGAATTAACATTATGAATTTATTTTACATATTTCCTATCTTGTTTAAATTATTTTCAATGTAGCCAGAGTGAAAGTGCAATAAAATTTAGGATATCAAATTCCTCTGTCACAGCAATTTCTCAAAATCATCACTTGTCAACTTTTTATAATCATTCACAATTTTTCTCAACTCTCAAAAAAGTTGAATTCAACTAAACAGAAAAATCTTCCCATTAAATTCTGAGGTATTTAAAGAAGGCAACATTTTGGGAAAATATGATTCATCAATTTAATTTCAATTGGGTTAAAATCACCACAAAGCTTACTTGTATGCCTGAGACAAGGCCTTCCAATGTTCAGTGACATTCTGGGTTGTCACGTAGTCCCACAGGAAGTGCTGGACAAGATGGTCGTTGCCTGGGAAGAATATTAAAACATGTTGTCAAAAATAACGCTTTACTTCATTTACTTTCTGTACAAGATGTTTCAAGAGTTTCACCACACTACACATGATTAAGGGATAAAGTTCACATTTTTTGTTATGCAGATTTAATATTTTCAATATGTAGGGAACTTCCTACTACATCAAATTAATGTTGGAGATTTTATGCTATCGATGGTCATTAGGAATATCATGTGTGGCAAACTTCCCAAGAAACAGCCACTAGATGGCAGTCAAGTCATGACCAGGCATAACACAATTTTATGTGAATTGTAGGAAGGTTATGCATTGTTATTTCTTAAAATTGGAGGCTCAGATGATTTAAGTTGATGATGGTGAAATTGTTGACCTACTAATTATAATCTTTGCCAGTCAAAACATAAATTTAACCAACTTTGTTGAAAAACCACTCACAAGAACTGCTCCCATTCACCATGTCCCTGACTGGGTTTGGAGGAAAGGTCTCCGTGTCATTGGTATTGTTATAATTGTCAACAACAATGTCCTTTGAGTTACAAATCCTGAAAACGTCCGATAATGATAATTATACAAATGCATAATCTGCATATTTAATTATCTGTATTAAAAACTGATAAAGAACTAATCTACAAAACAAAGACTTACTGTACTTCAGTGATATTAGTATAACTCAAAGGATCTTTTTTCTATCAGAATACTACAATGGACTAGTGCAATGAAGTTAATACATAAAACTATTTGCTTGACATTCAATTGTCAAATGCATTTTACAGAAAAGACTGAAAGTTTTTTGTACCATAAAGGGGCATGAACTCCCTGCTGCATTTGGTCTGCATCAGCAACAATTGGCTCCAATACTGAAACAGAATATATAGAAGTTATTGTGAGAAAGTGAGAAAGGCTGCCATTTGGAACCAAAATTCTTATGACAGTTGGTGACACAGTATATAGGTTTAGGACATGCCTTGTACCTCATCACCAGGTGGCGCCCCTGGTGGTAGATGTTGACACCTGAACCAATGTTTTTATTGTTCACAGTATTTATCATAATATTCTGATAGTTCTGTAACCAATTTTAACAATAACTTCTTAAAAGCACCAGTATTAACTTAAAGACAAAAAAATCTTGTCTACTTTAATTTAGGATAAATCTGAAGGTGTCCACTTAAATAGAGTAAGTCAGTAACTTTAATAAAACAGCCGATTGATTCAACTTTGGCTTGGACAAATAAAATGTTTTATTTGATCAAGTCTTGGGTCAAATTACAAAGAAGTTCTTTTTTTTGCAACCAGGTGCAGGAATAATTTATCAGTACTCACAATGCTTAGCTTGTTATCCTGTGACCTCAGGATAAACTGTGGAATAATTTATCAGTACTCACATTGCTTAGCTTGATATCCTGTGACCTCAGGATAAACTATGGAATAATATATCAGTACTCACATTCCTTAGCTTGATATCCTGTGACCTCAGGATAAACAGGAATAATATATTCAGTACTCACATTGCTTAGCTTGATATCCTGTGACCTCAGGATAAACTATGGAATAATATATTCAGTACTCACATTGTTTAGCTTGATATCCTGTGACCTCAGGATAAACTATGGAATAATATATCAGTACTCACATTCCTCAGCTTGATATCCTGTGACCTCAGGATAAACTATGGAATAATATAACAGTACTCACATTGCTTAGCTTGATATCCTGTGACCTCAGGATAAAGTGTGGAATAATTTATCAGTACTCACATTGCTTAGCTTGATATCCTGTGACCTCAGGATAAACTATGGAGTAATCTGGCATGACCAGCCCCAGGCTGAAGGTACTGTTGGGGATCCCTGTGTAGAAATATAGCCTGTTTTTCTCACTGGCGTACCTCTGGAAATAAAAAAAAAGCTCTCACTCATTTTCTGCATGTAGAAGCTCTCATTAAATTTTTTGCATATATATAATTAAAATTCAGTTAGGAGAACGAACACACGAACACACACACACACACACATATCAAAGTCTCAATGTCCCTTTAAAGCCCAGTATCTGTTTGTGGAGTAGTAAACATTTTGGAAGACTCACCAAATCTTTAGAAATGACAAATGTTTCTATGTTTGCATTCCCTGTCAGGTTGTTGATCATCATCTTTCTCAGCTGAAATAATTAAAATCAAAAAGATTACATAAAGCAAATATATCAAGGTGTAAGACATAATAATCTTTTCTGCTAGTGCATTTTGTTTTCCATTTCTAAATGCATNCAGTACTCACATTGCTTAGCTTGATATCCTGTGACCTCAGGATAAACTATGGAATAATATATTCAGTACTCACATTGCTTAGCTTGATATCCTGTGACCTCAGGATAAACTATGGAGTAATCTGGCATGACCAGCCCCAGGCTGAAGGTACTGTTGGGGATCCCCGTGTAGAAATATAGCCTGTTTTTCTCACTGGCGTACCTCTGGAAATAAAGAAAAGCTGACACTCATTTTTTGCATGTAGAAGCTCTCATTAATTTTTTGCATATATATAATTAAAATTCAGTTAGGAGAACGAACACACGAACACATACACACACACACACATATCAAAGTCTCAATGTCCCTTTAAAGCCCAGTATCTGTTTGTGGAGTAGTAAACATTTTGGAAAACTCACCAAATCTTTAGAAATGACAAATGTTTCTATGTTTGCATTCCCTGTCAGGTTGTTGATCATCATCTTTCTCAGCTGAAATAATTAAAATCAAAAAGATTATATAAAGCAAATATATCAAAGTGTAAGACATAACAATCTTTTCTGCTAGTGTGTTTTGTTTTCCATTTCTAAATGCATCTCTCTTTTAAACATCAATAATCGATACAACGTGAACTTGCAAATAGCAAACACCCAGTTAAGTGTGAAATATTTATTTTTAAAAGGTTTATCACTTGAAAGACATTATTTTTGAGCTTAGCTGGTTGTTGTATCATTTTGATTCAGATACAACCACAAAAACCACTAAAAATAACTGATTTATCATTTTTGAAAGAAGTTTTCATTGTTGTTTCATCATTATCTATCAAAAAAAGACCTTAATTTTGAAAAGTCATATTCATGCCTTGTACCTGGATTTTCTAAAAATGCATTAGAAATTTACCAGGAAAATACTAATGCTATCTTAAATTATAAATCCTTAATTACAAATCTTCATTATGACTACTGTAATAAATATCATGATGCAACAAATTGTGACCCTTTGAATAATAAATGTGACCCTTTACCTCAATCTTTGCAGGGTTCTCATGTTCAACTTCCAGGAAGTCCACATTGGGAGGATCTTTCAAGTAACCAAGCTGTGAAAATAAAATTAATTCAGTCAATCAGTTTTTCTATAAATCTTTTATATCATTTTTGGAAAAAATATTAAATTCAGTACTGTAACATGACAATATAATAATATTCTTTTATCCATTTAATTAAGAATCAATTTGTATACAATATTTCACCTTTTTGTATTATAATATCTTATCATATTGATCTTCTAAAACATCTTGATTTGTGCATTTTTGCTTTATACCATAAACCTTCTACCATAGTCAAACTAAAAAGGAGTTAATACCTGCGCCTTGAGGTTTGGATGAAAGACTGTATAGCCATTCCAATTCATAGCAAAAGCATAGCCATTTGGACCCAGCTGCAAAAGTTTATAAAATATAATGTTAAAAACTTATGCTACTTATAAACACTTACATGATAATATTTTATTTTATTTGTTAATTTTGTGGACTTTTTATCAATGAGTAATGTAGTCATTTATTTTCACCCAGTCAGGAAAGAACAGCTGAGAGTATTTCGCAAAAAATGATAATATTATTATAATATTTACATACTAATTGTCATCACTTGAGCTGATGAATCAGCTTTAAGCCTTCAGAATTTTTTATTCATGATGGGAAAAGCTTATTCAAATCTGTACACAAGAGACAATGGTGGATAATCCTCCTTTGTACAAAATTGCTTAGAAAATATTATAAAATTCTATGCATTATGAGGTCATTTTGTACAACTCAGAACTCATTTCTTTTCTTAATGGCTAGGGGACTAGACAGAATTTTTTTTATAGAAGTGGAGGTTTGTTGAATGGGTACGAGGAGCTATCTGACTACATCTTCAAGTATCTACCTTCTGCCATGGAGTGCTGTTCTCCATTTCTGCAGTGGTCACATCCACACCCATTACACCAAGGATGGTCTGGTTATTCTGAAAAAAATTAAATAATAAATACAAAATTAGGACAGGGAACATGGTAAGAACGCTCTCAAGTTTGCATTTTTAAGTCATTGTCTTCCTAGTAAATATTTACATATAATTTTTAGTACTCACTTTGACAGTCTGTCAAAACTTCACCTAAATACAAAATAATTTTATCTGCATACAGTTGAAATTATATACTTTTTTATCCAAGGGGTAAAAAATGCTACTTTTGAAATCATTGCTGTGACATTAGCTATTCGGATAAGGCTTTATTTTAAAACTCCCCAAATATGAAATTAAATTTATTGTATTCTATTCTATTCTGTGCCACTAGATGGCATCATGCAAGGTGTGTGGGAGGTTTGACAAGGCCACAACTTGTGCCACAATTCTCCCTTAATGTGGTGCATGATTTATTATGAGAACATTCTGTATAAAACCAAATCCTAATTTCAGTTTTACAAATTGTCCCCCTCCAATAAATAAATAAATAAACAAACAAACAAATAAATAAATAAAAATAAATAAATAAATAATTCTATTTATGAACATTTGTACAAAATCCAGCAAGTTTTCATATCAATTAATGAAATCTATGTCTCTTACTGAGTCCGTGCTTCTGTTGTATACTGGTAATGTCAGTGTTATCATCATCCCTAGACCCTGAAATACAGCAGACACAGAAGTCAGTGGAATGGTCAGATCACGGGACCAGGGGTCAGCTTCATGTAACTTTTATTCAGTGTAAATATTCAAAAAGTTAATACTGTACATAATAATAATGAAACAAATGTACAAAATTTAAAATTAATTTTCAAATGCCTATTACTTTAGAATCAGAGTTAATTGTCCAAATCTATATAAATCTTATTACATACATTTGACATACATTACATAAGTACTAATCTAAAATAAAATTATTTCAACTTGGGAAAACAATGGGGTGAATAAGGAGAAAAGGTATATTATGTTGGGTTATTAGGTGGCTAGGTTAGTAAAGATGAGGTGGAAGTTGACACAAAAAAGGGTTAACTTTAAAGCTGAACAACATCAAACATAAAATGCATTTAATTTGTTATACATCTTTCAGCCCGAATCCTCCCCTTAATAATTCAACTTCAATGAAAAAAGTTCTAGGCACCATTAAAATTATGAAAAAATTGTGCTTAATTGTTCATGAACTGAAGATTATAAATAAAAAAAGCCCATTTGTAATCTAAAGCACTAAAACATCATATAAAAATGCTTCACAATACTTCCATGCATTATACCAAAGTTGTAGCATATTACTTTTAAAGGTGCAAGACTGATAACTGTAACTACATAAACATAAAAACTGATATTCCTCCAAAAACTGTTCATTACTACTGCATGTTGTGGAAAAATCAAAACAACATCAACATCATCCAAGATAGTTGAGTGTCCAGATGCACCCCAAGTTTCTAAGGTTGCTGGCAACTCATCTCTCTCACCAGCACACCTCTGCCTTAGAGAGGCAAGTTTCCAGTGACCTTTGAGATTCAGGCATTTGAGGGGTGGGGGGAGTAAATGAACAGAATGACTTGTATCTCAAGTATTTAAATGGATTTATAATGTCACACACACACAAACACACACATACATGCATTTATAAACATACATAAATATGATGTTGACTCCATAAAAAAATATCATCCCAAGTTTCAGAATTATAGATAGGATCAAACATGCAACAAAAGAAAAGAAAGCATTTTCTTCATTCTCAACAGACCATTTCTTTAGTAAAATTCAATCAATTTCTGAATTCAGTTTTTCTTATGAAAATGCAGATTTCTTCCTAAAAGAGAAAATTTTCTCGTACCATATAGACCACACCCCGATTCCTGTCATTAGCATAGCCACGTTGTTTCCAGAAAACACAAGCTTAATCGAGATAAGTGCCAGTAGTATGAACTGTGTGTGTGTGTGTGTGTGTGTGTGTGTGTGTGTGTGTGTGTGCGTGCGTGCATGCATGTGCATGTGTGCGTGCGTATGTGCACAGGTCCCAGCATAAAACTGACTATATTGATAAAGATCAATCTACAGACTTTAGCACCATTTTGCTAAAATGAAATTGCATAAATGTAAGTCTGCTTCAACCTCTTTTTGTCTTGAAAAAAGCTGAGCGGTCACAGTCTGAATACATTCGAAATATTTTGTTATGTCTGCTCAATGACCTTTGAAGCATACAGCTCAGAGTAGTCATCCCTCTACTAGTTAAAATAACTTCCCAACTTTGGTGTGAAACAATACATGATACATCTGAGAAATGGGCTCATATGAGACATCATGCATAACAAAGACAAACATATTTTTCATGCTGTGCAGGTTAGTACGTGCTTCTCATAAAAAACACACCTAACAAAAAATGTGCAGCAACATAAGTTTTTGATAGTCTGTAAAATGTATAAAAAGAAAGTCATTTCTAAAAAGACCAAACATGTTTTCTACCCATGAGGCAGGTGCTATGCGATCAAAGCCCTTTGATGAAGCATCAGAAAGTCAAGCTTTATCGACAAAACACATTCAGTCTCTTAAGAAATGATCTACTATTATATAAATTGTACATGCTGGGTGTTAACAGCACTAATTTCATTGGGGAAGGGCTGCATGCAGGAAAAACATGCAGGTTTACACACCATTATTCAAACCTTGATCAAACCAATAAGGTGCAGTATTTCAGAGGTTTCATAAAAATAGTTCCAAAATTTTGAGCACAAAACTTTTCCAATGTTATCATTTCCAGATAAAAGATCACCAATTGGCCACAATAAATAATTATAATGACCCACTCCCAATTGAAACAGACTTCTCCTTTAAATATTACAATCAATTTTTGAGTCTTCATTTATAAAAATTATTGTTTTAGGAAATAGCATCAATTAAATTTGATCATATTAAGTAAAGAACCATAGGTTAAATGTTTAGCACAACAAACTTTTCGAGTCAGAATTTTAAAACATTTTTGACCTCTTAAGATCCAAGGCAAAAAGGTATTGTTGTTTCAGCTTTATTGCTCTCACTATGTGTATTGAAGGCTTCAACAAGTGAATGTTGAAAGAGAAATTGGCTACTTATTTAATAATTACCACAACTGAACAACTGTGTGTAAACCAGCCATCTGACATGGCTTAACAACTGTGTTTAAACCAGCCATCTGACATGGCTTAACAACTGTGTGTAAACCAGCCATCTGACATGGCTTAACAACTGTGTGTAAACCAGCCATCTGACAAGGCTTAAAGCTGCATAGGAGCAAACTATTTTTGCTGTTGGGTAGGGAAAAAAAACTAGACGCAGCTTCAGCACTTAAAATCTACATAGCAGTTCATGTAATTATTCAGGACAAATATCTAAGTACAGCTTACTGCTATCTTTCTGATCAAGGATTGTTAAATGATGGATATACATGTCCATACCAAAACTGACATCAAGTCAGATAAACAATTTCTTTGTGGCAATCAAAGAAAAATTTGCAAGTATGTAATTTAATCTAAATTTATACTACATGCATATCCATTTATCATATATATTTTTCTAAGGGTGGAAATTACAGGCTTGTCGCCAGCCAGAAGCCATGTCAAAGTCACAGCAAAAGTTGTGACAAATAATTCCTGTTACCAAAGCATCTTCATAAACACTGGTCCATCCCGAAAACTGTTTGTATGCCAGTGCCAGTGGACGATTCAAAACAGTGAAAAACTCCTGAGAAAAATGCAAGTAAAGAAAAAAGCAACTTCAAACACATGCTTCAAACCTGACCAAATCGCACCTTAAAATTTGGAGGTGGAACACTATGCCACTAAGTGACCAATGAGTGCGTACCCCCAACAGCCCCTTCCTCCCAAATGTAATTGTATAGTGTCGCCACAAACTGTGGGATTTTCCACCTCATGCTCTTCTGGGCTTACTCATACCACTACTTAATCTGGCAAACATTCATTTCACAAATAAGCTGAGATTCCACAAGATCAATTTTTGCTCTTAACCCATTGAAATCAAAAATGATAAATAAAAAAATCACTTTTTTATTGTCTACAGCAAAATTACTTTTCAACTTTTGGTATAATCATCAGGTGCTAGTGTAAGCCCAGAATGCCACATTCAATATGGAGCAATATGCACAATTATAAAATTCTGCTGATCACAGAAAACTTGAAAATAGTTAAGTAAATAAAAGAATACTCAATCATTAGTGATTAACTATATCTTCTATTTTTGTGGCAAAAAAGCAAACACTGCAAAGTACTGAGCAACAACTGAAAATAACATTAAATTCAGTGGTTAATTGAATCAACTTGATTATGAGTAAAAATGCAAACAATGCAATTGCTATTTGAGTAGCTGAGTTAAAAATCAGCAAACAACTTCTAATCATTCACTGAAAAATAAGAAATAAAATCCTGTTAACTCATAAGTCATTAGTTTTAAACAAAACTGCACCCAAATACTGCAATTGTTGCCATTCATCACTAAAACTGCAACATAAAAAGTAAAAAAATAAAGCAATCACTCGTTTTAAAAATTCAAATCATTCCATCCCTGTATTGAGGACTGACCAGTCGTCAATCAAAACAGCTGCACAAAAATGAAGGAAGTAAGTGACCAGTGCCAGCATTTCAAACCCCTCCCCTCCCTTTCTAACTTGAATGTTAATTTATTAAATCACACCAATTAAATTCACACAACAAACTCATTGAAACCATTCAGAACACATACTGACTTTTATTTGGCTGCATTTCTTACATGCAAAATTCATCTCAGCTATATCATAAATAGTAGGCAAAGTCTCTTGGACCTTTTCGCTAAAGAAAAAAAAATAGTGTGTGCCATTTGATAATAAATTTCCATGAACAGTTATATTTTTGCGTGACCAGAAAAAAAGTTCTTTTCATAAATAAATTGATGTTATTTCCTTTTGTCACATTATATGACTAATGTAAAAAGGTAATTTGTTAGTAGATTTAACTGTTTTACATTCCGCACTCTGAAGTTCTCATCTAGAAATGAATGGTGGCAGTTTTCTTCAAACTTACAGAAATAAAGGGAAAGATCAAACATGCCAAAAATCAAATGCGATGACAATATCCTCAGTAAGTACACTCTAAGAATACTTGTTTATATACCAACCATTAAATCAAATGAACTCATTGCACAATGAAAAGTTCTCTAAACAAAATACTAATAAATAGCTTGTGAAAGTCTCAGTCCACGTCCATACTCAGAGAGATTTTAAGATGTCTAATTACCACCAGGTTGTAACTGTAAAACCTACATAATAAACAGGGACTTGACTGTAACCCCACCTGGTGATTATTCTGAGAACAGTCTTCAACTGAGACAGCTGCAAGCTATCTATAAGTAATTTTCTTACTAAAAATAATAACAATTTGTTCAGTAAAATTGCAACATGAAAGGCTGAAGTTGATTTCAAAAAAGCTCCTGTTAAGAAAACTTTTTCAATCAACTGAACTGATATTTTAAAACAGTGCACAGACATTTTGTATGTGTTTGTTCATTAATTTCAAAGACCAAGCATGTAAAATGTGTCTTTTCTAGTTTAATTCTGAAATTGTCAAATATAAAAAACAAACAAATAAAATCCTAACTTAAGTTTTTTTTATGTATTCTACTGTTAATTAGTCCATCCAAAAGTTAAAAGGCTGCAATTCACAAAATGACTCCATATGTCAAAAGTTTGTCTTTCCTTTAACTCTAAGAATTGTACTATGAATACCCAGTAGCCGACTCAAAATCAGAATGTAAGCCCCAGTTTCAAATATAGAGCTATTTACCCAATCACGTTTCACAATGAGCCTAAAAGTCCTAGGACCCACCAAATATAAACTGGTGAAAATTATCCTGACTAAAAAGGAATACTACTGTACATTTTAGTCTTAAAATTAAGTCAAACTTTGACATCTGAATAAGTTAAATTTGTGAAACATAACCCTGTGCTTTGTGTCTGTACACTGTTTCTCAAATCTACAGCAAACAAATTAAAAAATAAAAAAATTAAAACTGAATGGGAACCAAACTGTATCATACACAAACTCTGGACAGTCTCCATGCCTAAAGTGGAGGTTAAGTTAGGGTCGTAACCATGGCATCGTTACCATGGCGTCATTCACTTTACCCCTTGATCTATGTACATCTTGGATTCTAGGACATGGCTCAGGTTACCATAGGCAAATGTGTCTGCCAGCAATTCTGGATATTTCTGATGTGCAGATAAATAAAAAGATAAATCAGAAATTATAAATATGCATCAGTTATATCCTTGTCTCCATGGGATGACTTGTCAGCAATTCCCTTTCCCCCTTTTTGTGAAAAAAAAGGTGAATCTTTAAATATTAAATATGCACCTAAAATACCATGTAGCTTTCAGGTTCCCCTTTGCATCTGTTTTGGGGGTATATTAAGGAAGAAAAATAATGCAAAATTTTAAAAACTGAAATAAATTTTACATTAAGTTAACCTCTGAGAACACAGCACAACACACTACCTAAGAAAAGGAATAAAGATAAAAATTTAATCCATCTAACTTTATTAACTATATCAGTTTCAACCTACTGGTCAAAAAAAACAAATTAAAGAAGTTATTTTGTTCTAGTATGGAACATCTCAGAAATTCTCACATATCATACAACCTTCAACTTCAACAAACACACAGGAAATCACTTGGTCATAATCTGTTAATGAAAAGCTTTTTTCTTCTTATAACCTGAAGGGTATTCCTGCAGATATATTAATTACTAACTTATTTCAAATCTCTCATTTATTCCCATGTTTTATCTTCCAGATTTCCACCATGGTGCACCCAGGTCATAATTTTCACCACAATTTTTATTTCAATTTGATAAAAAAGGCTCACCCCTTTGCCTTCCAAAGCTATTTAAGCTATGGGCATCTTTTCTGTCTCCATTCATATCAACAGATCACAGGACACTATGCAGATATCATTAATTTTTTTTGTGTACTTTCCAACTTAGAAAGTAAAAATTCATCTTAGAAATACATCAAGCATTTATACATGTTATGAATGTTATATTAATCAAGAAAAGTCTTTTTTCACCAAGCCAGTTACCAAGACAAGCTCATTTGAAGGGAAAAGCATTCTTTGAGTCCCCAAATGCTGTCAGAAGAGTTCATAAAAGAGATTCTGTTTCTGTAATGAGTCAGTATCGTGCCACCACCTTAACTGTTACAATAGAAGTTCTGAAGTTCTTATTTATGAAGAGTGTCTGGAACAGTTTGCAAAACATTCAACTGACTTATCATCCAAGAACCCCACTGCCAAGGCACCAAATTTTGTATTTTCCTAGCATTTTTTAAAGAAATGTAATTGAAATTCCACCCAACTAAACCTTAGCCATGAACTGTAAATTGACATATCCTAAACAACTATCACCAAAAAATGTAAAACCCTCCCCATGCAAAATTGCTCCTTTCACTGAATGAAAAAAAAAGGTAATAAAGTAGTACATATTATTTAAATATGTACCATTGCGTCCAGGTAGGGACTGCTGGTATGGGTGTGCTCTATGTTCTCCAGCGCCATGGGGCGCCCTACCACAGCTGGGTAATTCTGAAATAGTAACAATAAGGGGGTGGGTAAGAGGGGGGGGGGGGTGTGGGTGCATTTACACAAACTTCCTGGATTGATTGGGGGCGAGAGTGCCCCCAAAAATGAGTCAGAACGGTTGCGTATTTTGACAAGGTTATTTCCTTAAAGTTATCCCTTGCAAGTTAAAGATCAGGACCCTTCTAGGATAATTCCATGACTGTTCCAAGTACAGACTAGAAATGTTGCTGAACAGTTACTTATGTGCACTAAATTTCACTACTAACACAAACCATGAACCTTAAAAATAAAACAAGTCAAATATGATAAACGAAAGTGTAATTATCCAGGTTTCATGTAAATGCAGCCAAAGGTAGGTGGAATCTACGGTACCCATTACTCCTGAAAGCAGAAATATAATGGATACAGGACAGAAATCAGAATGGGGAAATTTACGTCACTGGGTTAACTTTCAACACAATGGATATTAAGCTGAAATAACAAATTGGTTGATGAAGAGAAAGGGGGATACACAGTACAATTTTTGACACCAGTACCAAAAATAAAAAGGTCACACAGAGGTCACAGGGTCAGCCATGTTGGCCAATGTAAATACGGATCTAGCAAAAAAAAAAAAAAAAAATCCCACCTCATAAAGATACTACAGAAGTGAGGCTTCAAGATCCACAGGTATTCACTGGTGAGAATTTTGATAGCTTCGTATTTCTATAATGATAATTATTCAACTATTTATCACAATTATTCTTTTTTTCAAAACATCAATTTTTGGCACTGCAGTACATAATTTATCTTTCCAAATAATACTTTTGGGATATTCAATTTTCCTTTCACTTTTCCTTTCTTCATTTCTTTCCTTGCTTTCAGTGAATAAATAATGAAACCATGGATCTTCACAAAACATTACAAACAAGACAGGACAACAACAACAACAACGATGCAGACACACAAAGAATGGGATCCCACACAGGTCACATGACTTGGTTGTTTACTAACTGCCACCATACCAATGCATCTTCATAGACATCGGATTCTTGTATGTACGCTCTAGACTGTAAGACTAGAGGTCTAGCAACAACTGCCACATGTTCCTGGGTGATAACCAACGAGTTATTAGGAAATAAATACCTCTTAAGCATTATAAAATACAAATATGTAAATGGTTTTATGAAAATAAGTAATTAAATTCATAAATGGCTAAAATTTAAAAGCATTTAAAGTGTGTATTGTAATAAGCTGGTTTTCGTTATGTAAACCAGATGCCCTAGAATATAAAATCAGAGTCCAACATCTGAAAAAGAAATCATATCCAAAAAGGGCTATCAAACACATTTCACAGTCCATATGTATAATAACAAAAATATATCAAATTAATACATCATTTACTTTAATGAAGACTTTGGCGTACTTAATAAACCATACCTTATGGGAATTCACACTCTAAATTTGCTGTAAAAATGTGCTTTAGTTAAATATTGATATATCAAAATGCATCCACTTAATATATTAAAACAATAACATCATTAATTTTCAAACAAATTGGTCAAACTATATATTAAATGCCTTTATTTCTAAAATGAAAATGTAATATTTCTTAAATGACACCAATGACACTTTTCATATCTTGGATTCAAAACTTAGTCCAAGAATGATTCCAATTACATGAAACATGTGCAACACAGGATCAATTCACATCATTTTATTTAAGACAAAATGTAATACAAAATTTGGTCAAAGAATGGCCTGAATTATACTAATGATAACAACATCAAGTAAAAAAAAATTGGTCTACAAAAACTCACCTGTACTGTGGTTCTGATGGCTCCCATTGCTGGTATCTTTGAGAAATATCCTGAAATCAAGGAGAAGGTCTGTGAAAGGTTTAGGTCAACATCACTCACAGCCATGATACAAGTAGCATTAGACCTTTAAATGGTTTAATTATTTTTCCTGAAAATGTCAACTATTTTCCTTAAACAACATCAAGAGTTTGGAGAAAACTATGACTTTTTAAAATGTCTTTTGTTAATCATCTTTTTAAGGGGGAGGGGCAAATGCTGGCTCCATTCCAAGCTAAGATTGTGTTACTTTAGCAAGTTTAACTAGTTTCATGCTTCTTTCACAAGAATGAACATCTGGTCACTTTTTTTTTTTTTTTTTTTTTGGGGGGGGGGGATAAATCTACTGCCATTAAAAGGACGTGTGTGATAGAAAGCAATGAAATTCATGCATATGTACTGCTTTTTGGCAAAAAGGGAGGTACTTTTGTAGAAACGCGGCAAGTTATTGACTGCGGGTACATTGTAAATTTTCACATTGTATTTCAATGGGGTGGATTAAACGTGATTAAAACTAATAAAAAGACCACAGGTAATTACAAAAACATTTTATTTCAACAGTTTTGACATAGGTGAAAAAGACAATGTAAAAAACTGTTTGAAAAATGAAAGTTTCAGGAAGTTACNACTTGTCATACTAAATCACTAACCTCTGTTCTTACAGGCCAGCCACCTGACAGCCTCTATGGCAGCAGCTGTCTTACCAATGGCATAAGTAAATATGCGAATCTGGTATGAAAAAATATTGAAATATAATTTATCTATTTTTTTCTAATTTTTTTCAACATTACATATTTTACAATATGAAGGTTTTTTAATGTTTTGTTAAGTGTCTCTGCTCAAACTATTTAAAATCAAATAATTAATTTTCTTATGAAAATGTATGTTTTTCTCAGACAAACAATTATCACATTTCACAGGCCTAAACAAATGGTTTTAAGCTGATAACAATGTTTTGTCACCTCAATATCGAGTTTGTGCTACATACCTGCTTGTCAGGATTTTCTCTGTTCAACACAGTGGCTGCTTCGTCTTTGGCAGTGGCTCCATCTGTCAATACCATGATGATTCGATTACAGTCTGCTCCAACATTATTCATGCTGCTGTTTTTCTCATCTTGTTCAAACTTAAAACAAAAATGCTTCGATTTATTAAGCATTAAATAAGTTGTATGTAAGAGTAAGAGTTTTATGAATCCTCAAGATATATGTACACTAAAACTTAAGATCAGTCACAGTCCGATAAAAAAATTGTTTACCCTTCTTCCATCTTTTTGCTAGGGGGAACAAAAAAAAAAGAAAAAAGCTTTGTAAAATCTTGTTCGAACATTACAAGAGATTTTTAACATTTTAGAGGTCGAAAAAAGTATATTTGGGTTGAAACCTAGTAATACTGAGTTAAAGAAGCCAGTATTAAACTGTGGAACTATCTCAGGATAAACTAAAGGATGTTTTGTCAATGAAATACAAAATTGCAAATAACAGAAAAAATACAGAAAATGAAACTTTTTCAAATGCTTTAAAGCGAATTTCTATTTAATCAATACACTTTTCAGCACTATAATACAAACTCCACATATAGTAGAAAATCCTAAACCTCTTTGAAAGCTTTGAAAGCAAATTCCAGAGCGTCCTCCCATTTTGCCATCCCAGAGGCCTGAAGATCCATCACCGCCTCTTTCAGGACTTGTTTGTTCCTGTGTGTGGCCTGGACAAAGCCCTGGAAACATTCTGACACGTACCGCACAGTGTCTTGGATTTCTTCAGTTTTGGAGTACTGAAAAGATGCAGGGTATGCTTATGGTTGATTTTCAATTTGAAAGGGAAAACATTGTATTGAACATTAATTTGTGAGATGTCAGGACTTATAACTAGACTTATAAATAAGAACTGGCTATTATTATTTGGCAACTGTTTGGAAAATAACTATCATGAACACTATGTTTTATCTTTTGTCACCAAAACATTTCATCAATTCTGGAATTTTTAAATAAGTATATATACAGTGTATATATACAGTGTGCATTCTTACATATAACATAATCATTTTAATGTTACACCAATACTGAAGACTATTTTAACCATCAAATGAAAACCTTACATTTGCAACTGCCACAAAGTCGTTCTCCCCCAGTGTTTCCAGCAACTGTTTTACAGTTTCCTTCATCAGCTGCAGAGCTTCCCCTGTAGTACTTCCACTCCTAAAATTATTCATTTATTTGTTGATTTATTAATTATCTATACTAAACTCAAAAGCTTTAAAAGACTTTAAATCTCAAGTTCTTTTGAGCCTTTTTGGTTGAAGTCATTCCTTTAGATCAAAAACTTAAAATATTTATAACATACTGCATGAATTCCATTTCTTCATGGGTAAAAAAAAAAAAAAAAAAAAATAGTGGTAAAATGGACAACTGTAAGCAAGCAAAACTGATAACCACAAGCCAAAAGAATTCTGCTATTTCAATACTAATTTGTCAAATACACTGCAATCAAAATAGGCAAAAATAATAATCATTTAATTACAATGCAAAGGTACCCATTGACACATAATTTAAAAATTCTTGATGAAAAAAACTACTAAGTGTAACAAAAAATTTGGAATAAGGAATACTTAAAGTGTTTGAAATTTGCAAAGAAAAATAAAATAAATAAATAGGGCAGACTTACGTGTCTACTAATATCATCATATTTTTGGGTGAACTTGACCCCTGTGTGTACCAAGGACGACGTCTGACATCATACAGATCAGGCTTGGCTTCAGTCCATGCATTGGCTAAAATGTTAATGAAAATATCAGATATACAAATTAATAACCAAAATTAAGTAATATGAATAAAATAAATTATATTTTATAATTAATTTAATATTTTCAATATTTTATAATTAATTTAAAATAAAAATTAATATTTATAAAATCAAAAAAGAAAAAATTATAAAACTATAAAAAACAGTAAATATTGAAATACTGTTTAAATCCAATTTCAATATTATTCAAACATTAACTATTTCTAGTTACTGTTCATTATATTTATCATTTACTCTGTTTACTCTGAGATGTTTTCTTGTTTTAAAGCTAAGCATTATTTATACATTGTATCAAACTAGGTTTCCTTTTCCCATCTTCCAGTTCACTGCACTCTTTTTTTCTTGGCAAAAAGAAATTATGAAATTCAGACACTGAGTTACATTATGTGGATACTATTCTCAGTCAGTAAAGGCACTGCTTTACATGTGTGAAGATCCCGTACATAATAACTCATAGCCCTTCCAATCTGAGTTTCTATTTTGAGCAGGCACAATCTATGTGATTCAGTTATATTCCACAAGATCTAATCTGCCCTTTAAGCATGTAACAATTGATGGATCCCAGTCAATGCACAAGTTCTGTACCTAGCTCGCATTTGATCTGCCTCTGGGTGCCATTGTGAATGTGTCATGAAGTTCTTAACAAAGAGCTTTTTTTCCCAGAATCAATACAGAGAGAGTGCGAAATAAGTCATTAACTTTCATCTGTAATTTGACACTGGAACTCAAACAAGTAGATAGTTTCTTCTATGACAGGTAGAGTGTAACAGAAATAGAGTGATGGCCATCTAAGAGTGCATTCCCATAGATTTAGATCAATCCATCTAGATCGACCTAACTCCCTGGGGGTTCACGCTAAATTGCTGTCAGCCGAGCGCGCACGGTAGTTAATTACCCCCTTACAGCTTTTAGTAGGCGGGACAGACGCTTAAGCCAGCTAAGCTGACAGTAATCTAGTGAGACTCCCCACAGGGATAGATCGATCTATAATCTGTGGGAATGGGGTCTAAGAATGGTTGACCTGGTAGTAACTGCTGCAGTTACTGTGGAAGTAGTAGTAACTATGATTACTAATCTAATTTTAACCAACGAGGAGATTTCCCATCAATTTACCTGGGTAAGAACGTAAAAACCCTTTCTGCCCTCCAAAGTATTGCCACAGAAGATTTGGATCATCCTCTGCATTTTGCTTCCATACGTCGTCCAGTCCCTCTGTCCACTTCAGGCCATTCAGGATATCTTTATCTGTTCAAATCACAAAATAAAATTTTATGTTGATATTACTGTTTTTCTCACAACTCAGTTTCTGCATAATACCTGCCGCCATGCAATGGTTAATTGTGATTTTTATCTGATCCTGTTTCAGTATACTTTAATTAATTAAACATTGGATTTAGAAGAAGAATGTGTGCAAGTATATTTCTTTCAATTGGATGTACCCTGCATACGTATGTGCTTGTATACACATGCATGTATACCTGCATGCATGTCTACACTGTACATATGAGCAATTAACATATCCTTTGTAACATTATATGTGCATGCTTGAGTGCCTATGCATATGAATACACACCACACCTGTGTGTGTGTGTGTGTGTGTGTGTGTGTGTGTGTGTGTGTGTGTGTGTGTGTGTGTGTGTGTGTGTGTGTGTGTGTGTGTGTGTGTGTGTGTGTGTGTGCACAGAACACGTACCTCCATAGTATATCTCCACAGGGATGTGTACGCTGGAGATGGTCTCGTTGATCCCCTTGCCAAACTTAGGAGAGTAGGCCAGCGTACTTTTGTCCAGAGTTTTTGCATTGTTGAACTTATAGTTATCTATCTGAAATTGTTCAAATAATATTAATAAACAAGGCAGCAAAGCTGTCAAATGTACAGACAAAAAGCAGGAAATAACTATGCACAAAATAGGCTACTGTCAATTCTGATGCAAAAGTACATTATGTTAAACTGCAAATTCAACATCAAATTTGAATTATGCTCAACAGGTAATACCAATGTAAGTAAAACGTGTAACAAGCATAAGGCTTCAGGCCCATGGGAGTTCAAGTTCACACTTTGAAAATGTATAACTTCCAGAAAAAGAAGCCAATTAGACTACTTTTCCAACCCAGGCTGCATTTTAGTCCTGCATTTCTTTTTTGAACATTTGGCAATCATAAGTAACATGGTTTTCCCATAATGGTCATCATGGCAACAGCACCCATAATTGTTTTCTTCTATTCTGATGCAATATCACATATTGGTTAACAGCATAATGACCGTCAATTTTTAATAATAAAATATACGTATCATGGATTTTCAGAAAATGTGACTAGCATGGGTCTTCAAGCATGTAGAACTTCAAAGTCACACCTTGAAAATGCCAATATGTGAAATATGCTGAAAAGTGAAAAAAA